TGTCAGATAAAATTAGATAGGTTTAGATGATTTGGTCCCCTCTAACATTATATGACATGTTTTGGCCCCTTCTATATTCAGTTTCTGACTCTGACACTGGTTTTAACCCAAGGAATTGGAGTGCATTGGGGACACGAGTGCCACTCCCAGTTGTCACCAAATGGGCATGCGAGAAAACCAGGCCGAAATAAACTCATGGTTTACTCACTCAGGGAAACGACGGGATTCTCCAGGGATCCCTCGCAATCAAACGAGGCCTAAGTTTTATTTTAATTTTTAGAAGATCGGCTAGAGATGCTTTAATAAACTGAGGCGCGAAGACAGAGGATCAGGCCATTGAGATGTCTTTCTCTCTCTCTCTTTTTGCGAAACATTGAGATGTCTTTCTGCACGACCAAGTTACCCAAACGATCCATGGGTTTCTCGACTCATACCCGTGACAGTCCGAGGGTTGGATCGTCAACACTGATCCTAATCAGCACTCCAAACTACTACTAGTAGTAACATTCATACTTCAGCACTACTACTGCATAGTAGTTTCGCTACTACTACTTGAGATGAACTCACAAACATTGTCCAACACTTCCTTCCAGGGATCACCAGCCGCATGCAGAACATCAGCACAGGTTATTATTTTTTTTCCTCTCATCACATCACATGACGGCGCAGGAGTTGGCGTTGTCGTCGTTGAACATGTCGGTGAGCTGGTCGTCCTGCCTGCTGACCTGGCCGGACACGTTGCCGTAGCCGGGCTCCTGGCTCCTGACGTAGCCGGCGGGGGCCCGCTTGTCGTAGGTGCCGGCGACGTAGGGCTGGCTGACCTGGCTGTAGGGCACGTAGGGCCATATCTCGGCCTTCTTCCCCGTGGACTGCGCCTTCCTCAGCACCTTGCTGGCATCCGCGTACCCCGCCACCGTCACCTTCTGCTGCTTCCTGTTGATGTTCACTGATCGGACCCCTGAAATTACAAACCTCATTGTTATCTCCTCCTGATCAATGAATTTGGCAAGCTTTGCAAACATTCAAAAAAAAATTAAAAAAAATACAAAGCTCATAGTTAATCCAATTGCTAATCCACTAGTCTGAAGTCGACGTTATTGATTTATACGCCTATTAGCTTATGGTTCAGAATCAGATGTGCCGACAAGAACGAAAGTCTTACTCCAGATGATGTTGTAAATGTTTCAGAAAGTAAAGAGGCAAAATTATCGGAGTCCATCTGATGCAGCTTCTGCATGTAGAGACATCATTGATGTGTGTGTGTTTTATGTTCAGTAAACTAAACCCTCCATGTGGAAAATTGATATCATCGTCCTACATGCAGATGTAGTACACTTTTGAATATATTCTTGTGTTCATAGCCGTTTTGGTTTGTGTCACACACACAAAAATCTTCGTCAGAGAACTCCTACTCATACTCGCAAGAAAAATCTCCTACTCATCTGGTAAACAGATGGTCTCTGCAAAAGATGTAGGGAGCAAAACTGTGTTATAGAGCATTTGTGCTTCAAGGAGCATGCTGCTGGATGTGAATAATGAATACAGTTAAATGTGCTGCAGCAAGATTCATCATGTTTCTGTTTTAACTAGCTGTGCAGTCGAGCAGAGGAGCAGAGCAGAGATAGAAGTAGAACCTTTCAAGGAGCTGAAAACGCAGCTCATGACAAATTGAACTTATACTAAAACCTGCATTCGGAAAATCAGCTAGGGATTTATTGGCCTCCATTTTGTTCAGTGAGGGGTTTTAGCAAACTAAAACCTACTGTGCATTCTTGGGTAAACAGCATTCTTGTGAGGACGTGACAACTGCAACTCTAGTAAGGCGCTAATCATATCATACCTGCTTTGTGGGAACCTCTTTCGGATCAAGGCGCGTGTAGAACAACAGATCAAAGCATTTATAGATAGAAGAAGAGTTCTTTGTGGTTTAAACAGTTGATACTTAACGAGGACATGAAACTGTGTTACTGTACGGAGCATGCATGCCTCCTAATGTGAATACTGAACTGAGTGGATAGATTAAAATGTGGATGTGCTGTAACAAGATGCACTATGAAGCGTGCGAACGCCTTGTCTGTTCTTTCTAAGAAGATCTAAGAAGATGAGCAGAGGAGCAGAGGAGCAAAGGAGCAGAGAGAGACAGAGACCGAACCTTTCATGGAGGAGAGCGCGTTCTTGACCTTGCGCTCGCACCCCTCGCAGTCCATGCTGACCTTGAGCTCCACCGTCTGCATCTGCTTCCTCCTCCTCCTGTTGCCGTGGCCGTGGCCATGGCCATGGCCTCCGCCGCCCCCCAGCAGCCCGGACAGGTACTCCAAGGTGCCCCCCACTCCCATCGCAATCCCTCACAACCTCTCAGCAGCAGCAAGAACAAGAGGAAGAAGAAGCTTTCAAGTACCAACCAAGAAGGCTCCTGACCAAAGATGGTTCTCTCAATGTCACTGACCAAAGATGTGAGATATGAATGGGAGGAAGCAAGGCGGTCATTTATACACACGCAGCGCAGTGCAGCTGCGTGTGCTGCGCCTTGCGCAGTGACAGACAGCAGACGACGGGGGAGGAGAGAGGCTTGCAAAAGGACCATGTGAGACCTTTTTCTCTCGCGCGGCAGTGGTTGCGTTGATGTTGATAAGAAGAGATGGAATCAATGGTGCGAGGAAAGGGATAGGACGGGAGCTAGCTGCGTAAATGTCGAAGGGTGGTGAGAGGGTTCTTGGAAGTTGGAAGCCACAGTGGCCTAGGGTGGCTATGCCTCTGTCTATCTATGGCCTGCCTGTCTTGACAGCCATGTGTGCATCAGTGCATGCATGCATGCGCTCTCCTGACCCTGTAGGCCTTTGGAAAAGCGCATAGCCACAGCCAGGACTGGCCCTGCACAAAAGGTAAAGAAGAAGAAGAAGAAAAAGGCTCTCTGGACTTCTGAAAGAGCAGATTCAGAAAGGTTTTCAGAGATGGTAGTAATAAATAAAGATAGAAGGGGAAATAATACAGTAGAACCAAGAAACAAATAATGGCAATGTACTTGGATGATAATGGCAGTGTACTTGGCCCCAAGATATTTCTTGCAAAGCTTCCAAGAGCGTACTACCTGCTCTCTCACCAGCTGTGTTTTGTTCAAGTGCTGATATACGTTTCTTGTGCAGCGACGGGCGGGTCTGGGCGCCGGGCACGCCACCGAGACGTGGAGCTAAAATGGGGAGGCGCGTCGCTGTCGAACCTAGCGTTGCGCGCAGCATGTAGCCGACTGGTTGGTGAATGGTGACGAGACGCCCCATCCCATGTCCTGCTGGCTGGTTCCAGTGGTGGACGGTTGCGTGCTCGGTGCCATGGACACCGCGCCGTCCATGACGACGAGGGAGCGGCACGGCACGGCACGGCGCTGACGCTGCTGCTCCGCCTCTGCTCTTTGCTCCACTCCGGCGCCCCAGCCCGGGTTTCTGATTCTTTTCCGTGGGTTCAAAATGCACGAGAGACAGATACTCTTTTCCCGTGTGCTCAAAAATGCGTGCAAGATACATTCGTGATCTGTGGCCTTTGGCCCCCTCTAGCTTCTAATGGTAGGGCGCTGTCGCGATGGATCCGCCTGCAGTAGGCCGGTTTGTAGTACCAAATGATCGGTCGGTTGTTCGCAACCAATTATTGGCATTTGGCAACAACAATGTCGGGCGTGAACTGAACTGAGAGATTCAGCCGTAGTGCATGGTATTGGTACGTACGTCGATTATTGCAACATCATTGACGCGACGGGGCAAGCGGCCGGGAGAAGCATTGCATCGCCACCTTTGGTCGCACTGCAGGCCAAAAGAGAGAGACACGGACTAAAAAACACAAGGGGGCTTCACGGCCATGTGTCGACATAAAATTCCAAGGAGCGGAGCGCAACAGCGCGCCAGGGATGGTAGATAGGTCTGGGGACGAATTGACTCCGCACCAACCGTGACGCAAATGCGCCCGAAACCGAAACCCACACGGACACGGTACACCACACCACACCACACAACTCGCTCTGCGGTTGCATCGCATGCACCTTTCTGCAAAGGATCAGATCAGATCAGATCGGCGCGGTGCGTCCACGAGGAGACGCAGCGACTGGCGAGATATCACACCGCGTCGCATTTCGATGCGATGCAGCAACTGGTGAGTGAATGCACACACCTAGGATGGACACAGCAATAATATCCGAGGGGCGCCCAACATACCACACCAGTACCAAACGTATGCACGATGACAGAAAGCTGAGAGAGGCAATGGAGAGAGAACAGACAGGTGATGAGGGAAGCGACAGCCTATTTGAACACTATCATCAGCCTAAAAGGGGCAGTAGAGGCTTGAGGCTGTCACGCACTCATGTGCAATGATATCTGTTATTTTATTATATTCTGAATTCCATACAAGTGTTATACTTCAGATGGAGTCCTACTGGACTAGAGCATGCCAACAGTGCTAGACGTAGCATGATTACAACTCTATTTCGTGTCCACCAAAAAGAGAGTTGTTTGCCACTTTATATAGTACCAGCTAGTCATGAATAGATGAGAGAGAGATCTCCACCAGATTAGCACGTAGAGGGTTTGTCCTCTCATGTAATGTAATACTCCTCCCAATTATAGTGATACGCCGCTGTGCGTTTCGTGCTTTTCTCCATCAAGGATTTCCACGTAAAAATCCATGTCTCTGTCTTGTTTATTTCTTTTTAGAGAAGGACTTCGGTACAAACCCCCCCCCCCAATAAACGTATAAGGGGTAATATTGTCCATACTAAATTATGTATTAGTGCACCCGCCGTCCGTCGTAGGGCCGGCCGCCCGTGTACGCCGCGCCCCGTACTCCCGCGTCGTACGCGTGCGGTTCGGTAGTGCGATCGGGAAAGGAAAAAAAAGGTACGCCCCACCCCGACACCACATCTCCGCGTACGAAACCCTAGCGGCATCAACGCCGCCGTGGTCCACCGCCGTCACGACGTCGGGCGGCGTCCGTAGTCACCCACGCGCCGTGAAACCGACACCCCATCCCCGCCTAGGAAACCCTAGCGGCATCAACGCCGCCGTGGTCCACCGCCGTCACGACGTCGACCCCGACGTGCCCGTCTAGTCGCGAGCACCGACGGCGCCCGTAGTCACCCACACGCCGTGTCGCCGGTGAAACGCTCAGCGCTCCCGTGAACGTTCTGTCCTGGTACGTGCCCTCCACGACGTGGGTGGCAGCAACGCATCGGCGTCGACCCCAGGCAAGGACCCCTCGACGGCGCACAGTAGGTTAGGATGGCTCTTTTTGTTCTTTTTTTGATTTGTCCATTGCATTTTTGTGCATTTTTTATGCAAAATGATTCCCTACTTAGGTAAATAAGAGAGGAGAGTAGTGACCTCTTAATGACCTCATAATGATTTTGTATGTTCAAATTTGTATGCATGCCACATAGTCATGTCACTGCTGACGAATTTACTGTATTCGCGATGATGTTTTGTGGAATGTTGGCATTGATCTCACACCTTATTTGTATGTGCATAGATGGAGCAAGTAACCGGATACGCCAGTGATGATTCCGGTAGCGATAATGGATCCTCGTCATTGAATGCGAACCAACCTCTCGGAGACAACTATATGAGTCAGGATGAATCGTACAATGGTAATGTAAGTGCCTTCAATGTTGACCAAAACATATTGAATACAAACTAGTTATTTGACACTAACATGTCCTTTTAAATTTGTACAGCTACATGGCAATGCTGACGATGAGGAATATGATATAGATGAACAATTTTATGCAGATAGTGTGAGCCAGGTATGTTGAAAAAATTGTAGAGAAATGATTGACATTAAAATTGTATGACCACTTATGTTACTTTACATGTGCATAGATAGATGCTAATGGTGACAATGAGCGTAATAATATAGATGATGACAATGCCGAGAGCGAGGTCGATGCATCTCGTAGTGTGAGCGGTAGCCAAGTAAGTTCTTTACATTATTTATGGTTAGTAACAATACAAGAACAGATTGACATGCAAGGTTATATGTCATATTTTGCAGGGAGGTGTTGATGGTCCTAGCGGGAATGATGAGCACAGCGATGATGATCAGTTTGACCTTGACATGTGCTATGATGAATATCAGCAAGAGTCACTTGATAGGCATTGGGCAGTGATGGTAAAGACATTCAGGTCATTAGACGAGGTGTACACGTTCTACAACAAGCACGCGAGAGAACGTGGGTTCAGCATCAGGAAGGACTCGCTAAAATTTTCAAAGGATCGCGCAAGGACTCCGCGCTTGAGGAGGTATCTCTGTTCCGCCGCAGGAAAACGACAGGCCAAGTTCTGTACCATGGAAGGCCGGACCCGCAGGCTTAGACCGGAGAATCGATTCTTATGCGAAGCCCATTTGACAGTTAAGCTTGATAAAAAGCTCAATCTTTGGTATGTCAACAGTTTCTCCGATGATCACAGCCACACTCTTGCACGACCGGACGAAGTCCCTTTCCTCCGATCTCATAATCAGATCAAAGCATTTGAGAGAGCTGAGATCTTAGCTATGGCTGGAGCTGGGATAAGAAAACATATCATTTTTGACAACATCGTTAGCAGGTATGGGTCGTATGCAAAGTCACCATTTCAGAGGACAAAGCTGTATAACATGTGCTATAGGGAGAAGATGAAATTGCTTGCACAAGGTGATGCTGATACTGTCGTAGGAATCATGTTGACCAGAAAGGACAGAGATCCAGACTTCTTCTTTGAGCACACGGTTGACGCTGAAGGCAGACTCCAAAACCTCTTATGGTGTGATTCGCAGTCACGCCGGGATTATCTAGACTATGGTGATGTTGTTGTGTTCGATAGCACATACAAGATGAACAAGTATGGAATGTCGTTCATCCCTTTTGTGGGTCTGAACAACCACCGTTGCACTACGGTATTCGCCTGCGCCATTGTTTCAGACGAGACTGAGGCTACATATGTTTGGTTGCTTAACACGTTCTTGAAAGCTAACTGTCAGAAGAGGCCCAAATCTATAATTACAGATGGAGATGCGCGATGATAAGGGCTACTAGGAAGGTGCTTTCTGACGTGTGGCATCGTCTATGTTCATGGCATATTGAAAAGAATATGCAGAAACACCTCAACCACAAGTCATTGAAGGAGTTTAGGGCATTATTGTACTATGCCACTACACATAAGGTTTTTGAGGAGAGATGGGCCGCGTTTGTGCGCAAATGGCAGACGGAGAAAACGAAAACATGGCTCCATAGGATGTACAGGAAGAGGACGCTTTGGGCTGCATCATATTTGTCTGATGGGTTTTTCCTTGGTATGCGCAGTAATCAGAGGAGTGAGAG